CCCCTTGGTGAGAATTTCTTAGCTGGCTCAAAGCTTGTATCTATACTTTTTTTTTTTTAATCGGAATAAGCTATGATAGTAGTTTTATACCCTGGACATGCAGTCTTGTCGTTTACCAGCAAGGGAGATCCCTATTTGTGGCACTCACTATTAGTTCTCTAGTAGGGGTTTGTCCCATCCTCCTTGATAAGATAACCCCAATGTTGTTCAAGCAACCACGGGCCCAAGTCTCATGGAATGAGCAACGATCCACCTGAAATCCATCAGGGAAATCCCATTGCTCTCAGCCAGTGGCTGGTCTACAGGTGGGCATGTGCCTCCTTCTGACCTAACAGACATAAAGGGAGTATTTTATTCATGATACACAGAAAAATGCAAGGACAAAGATCTCTCATCTTCTGTCTTCCATTCCTGTTTTTGTGTGGAGATATGGTACCTAGCACTGTGGCAGCCACATTGCAACTATGAAGTAACAAGACTGTGAAGGAATGCAAATACACGGAGGCTGGCAATGTGGACACATGAAACAGACCTGGGTCCTTGATGATATCACTGAGTCACTGGGCCTACTTCCAGATGGTCTATCTCCATACTTTTTAGTAAGCGAGTAATAAAAGCCCTCATCATTGACAGCCATGAAAATAGGGCTGCCTGCTAAATGCCCGCTCAAAGCATCCTAACCGACTTGCTATCTTAAATAATTCTTAGATGCTTAGGCAAGGATATTTTTTTTTAATTTAGCCTGTTCTGCTTTTCCTCCATTGTCTCTAATCCAACCATCCTTTCTTCTTTTCAGGAAATTCCCTATTAGCCTAGATCACACGACCCATCATTCAACCACATACTTACTAATATTCTCAACTCCCTTGCACACATGTCCTTCTGCTGCACGTGTCCAAGAAAACCCCATCCTGGATCAACCAATCATCCACATTTCCCATCCATATCTGGGCTCATGAATATTACCAGAGAAAGTAATCTGGAATCAGCAGATTAGTGTCACCATCCTCAGTCATGTTCTTAAGAATAACCTACAATGCCTCTCTGCATATCTCTTTACTCCCTCACCAACAACTATTTTAGGCCTTCACCCTCCCTGTACATGGACACCTTGCCTTCTGCCTAACAGGACTCCCTCGATTTCTCAGCACCACTCACAGAGCTACATGCATTCAATCTCATCATTTTCTTTATTTCTTGAAGTCATTAGGTTGCTCATCAAGCACCCCAACTATCCACCTTTCTGGCATACTTGTTAAGATCACAGTATCTCATCCCTTTGTACTGGGAGATGGCTTAACTAGTTCTTACCAGGGATGGTGAGGGGAAATGACACACGTTGCTTTGGGGCCAGAGCATTTAACCGACAATGGGAAACCCTCCAGACCTTGCTTCCCCTCTGGCACAGACAGAAACTAGAAGCATTTGGCACCATCAGGGTAACTATGATGAGAGATTAAAGTAGAACATGTAGCAGGAATAAGAATTAAGCCTTTTTAAAGAACCACTAAGATTTTGGGTTTTTTTGTTATTGCAGCATAATCTAGCCTATGTCGCTGATACATTTTTCCTCCCATATCACAAAATACGTGGTCTCTCCTGCCATTTTACATATATCCTTCCACTACATCCATCATCCTCTTTCTATACATATCTTCAACCTTTCCTTCATTCCATTCAGAAAAAAAAAAAAAAGGTAAAATTACTTTTACACATTAAATCTTTTAAAAATGTCCTTTATCAGGTCTATATACTTCCTTTGGCTTCCATCTTTTATTTCTTTCACTTATATACGGCAAAAATATATAGTCAATACTGTGCTCGCTTGTAACCTCCTGTTCACTCCTCATTCCAATACAATCTGATTGCCACCTGACACCATTCTATGGAAAGCATTCTTTCCAAAATTAGAGGTACAATTCAGTAGCTAAATCAAATGGATCTTGGACTGGACATGCTGATAAATTTACCTGCTGAACGAGCCTCTCCTTTGGACTTAAAGTAGCAGCCCACACCCCTTCAGGATGTATCTGCTGTGCCATGGCCCACAGGCTTTATCAAGTAGACCTACATGTTCTCTCTACCACCAGACTCCCCCAGGCAACTCCCCAGCCCAGACACCAGGGATTAACCAAGAGAAGGCATGTGATCTAAAGACAGCCAACACATAAGATAGGCCAGAAATTTGCGATATGTGTGTACAGACTCAAAAAGAAGAGCTTGGCTAGGTTCTCTCTCCCATGAATATGAACTAAGATCAAAGGACATGTGGCAGTTGGTGAGGAGGCCACTGTGGCCATATTCAAGAAACCACAGAGAAAGGAGTTGGCTGGGAACAGATAACTAAGCAGCTGCTTAGAGACGGCCCCTGGGAAAGGGGTGGAGAGAACAGCTTTGGTTCCTGGTGGCTTTCCAAATCCCAGCAGCTAGTCCTTTTGTTGTCCAGTTGTGTTTGGGGTTTGCTCTTGAATTTACCTGAAACCCCATAAAGTATCCTTAAAGCAAACCCCAATTACTGTAGCATGGGTGGATTTCTTTCTAGCAAAAAGACCCTTTTAAAACCTTATTTTAGGGGCGCCTGGGTGGCGCAGTCGGTTAAGCGTCCGACTTCAGCCAGGTCACGATCTCGCGGTCCGGGAGTTCAAGCCCCGCGTCGGGCTCTGGGCTGATGGCTCAGAGCCTGGAGCCTGTTTCCGATTCTGTGTCTCCCTCTCTCTCTGCCCCTCCCCTGTTCATGCTGTCTCTCTCTGTCCCAAAAATAAATAAACTTTGAAAAAAAAAATTAAAAAAAAAAAAAAAAAAAAAAAACCTTATTTTAGACTGCCTCCTTATAAGATTTTGCAGTCCTGACCACTCTCTCTTTATTGAAAGTTTCTCCCTCCTTGCTCCCCTGCTTCATGTTTCTTCTCAGTCTAAGGTCTCCTCTTTCTCTACCATGTCTTTATTTATTTTTCTTTTTTTAATATGAAATTTATTGTCAAATTGGTTTCCATACAGCACCCAGTGCTCATCCCAACAGGTGCCCTCCTCAATACCCATCACCCACCCTCCCCTCCCACCCACCCCCATCAACCCTCAGTTTATTCTCAGTCTTTAAACGTCTCTTATGGTTTGGCTCCCTCCCTCTCTAACTTTTTTTTTCTTCCCCTCCCCCACGGTCTTCTGTTAAGTTTCTCAGGATCCACATAAGAGCAAAAACATATGGTATCTGTCTTTCTCTGTATCACTTATTTTACTTAGCATAACACTCTCCAGTTCCACCCACATTGCTACAAAAGGCCATATTTCATTTTTCCTCATTGCCAAGTAGTATTCCATTCTATATATAAACCATATCTTCATTATCCATTTGTCAGTTGATGAACATTAGGCTCTTTCCATAATTTAGCTATTGTTGAAAGTGCTGCCATAAACATTGGGGTACAAGTGCCCCTATGCATCAGCACTCCTGTTTCCCTTGGGTAAATTCCTAGCAGTGCTATTGCTGGGTCATAGGGTAGGTCTATTTTTAATTTTTTGAGGAACCTCCACACTGTTTTCCAGAGTGGCTGCACCAATTTGCATTCCCACCAACAGTGCAAGAGCCTGAATGTGAGACAGGAAACCATCAAAACCCTAGAGGAGAAAGCAGGAAAAAACCTCTCTGACCTCAGCCGCAGCAATTCCTTACTTGACACATCTCCAAAGGCAAGGGAATTAAAAGCAAAAAATGAACTATTGGGACCTCATGAAGATAAAAACCTTCTGCACTGCAAAGGAAACAAACAACAAAACTAAAAGGCAACTGATGGAATGGGAAAAGATATTTGCAAATGACATATCGCACAAAGGGCTACTATCCAAAACCTATAAAGAACTCACCAAACTCTACCACGTCTTTAAAATGTTAAGGATGCCTGGGGTTCCCTGCTGCCGTCCCCCACCACCCTCCCCAGGAGCCCCTACCCATTTCCATATCTTCACACTCCACCCAAGCTGGGAACTCTCAGGACTTTTTTATTTCTGTCCAACTAATAAGACTTTTTAGAAAATCACATCTGCATTTATTAAAATAATCACTCAGTGGTTAGTCATAAGACCTTACATTTTTCATTTCAAAGGGTAATTTGTAACATTATAGTGAATGTTCATGATCATGTTGTCAACACTGTAGCACATAAATGTGTAATGACAACTCTTCAACAGCCATCTGATAAAGATACTTTAGTAGAAAAATTTAGAGCAAACACAAAATAAATAAAATAAATAAAATAAAATAAATAAAATAAAATAAATAAAACAAAACTTGGATGAATCTTCTGTTTAAATGTGTTCAAATGGTTTTCACTATATGCACAAAACTTGTAATTTCAATTTTTACAAAGAAAAAGACTGTAAATCAAGGAAATTATTAGGAATGAAGTCAGCAATGATTTAGGGCAAAATATTAGTCTATACATGTAAGATCAATATGATAATAAGGGTGTCAAAAATGGACTGTTATCATAAAATTTTAAAGAAATTTAAGGCCATTACATCCTACCAAGTCTTTTCATACATAAAGAAATGGAGAATCAGAGAACCCATGATTTGCCCAAAAGGACAACGCTACCTCACGGCAGAGCTGACAGTCATTAAGACCACCTGATTCCTTACCTAGCACCCTTGCCAGTACAACATGATTTATGAGCTGCTCTCAAGCTTATTAAGAGCAAAATGGCAAGAAAATCCTTCAGTATTGAAAAAGTCCCAGTCAGGAGAGCATATACCCTCTCAACAGAATTGCCCTCTCTTATGACACTTTCTTTAGAGTCTTGCATATGGGAGGCGGGAAGCAGATGTTCTGAGAGCAGGGTTGGTGAGAAAGGCAAGCTAACACCTTCTCTTTGATGCGCTTGGAAGGACTCAAACAGCTCTCTCTAGAGTGGTTAAGACAGCTGCTGAGATGTAGCAAAGCTTTGATCCAAGAGCTTCAGTTCCCAGAGTCATGAAATCACCCCAGGAAGGGAAATCGGGTGAGTTTAAATCAAATGTGGTAATCCAAGTCTGGGTGTGAAATATATTAAAATTAGAAAAAGTGATGACAGATAAAAGGTTAGTGAAAAACGTGCCAAATTATTTCATTAGAAAATTGCTCTAAAGCACCATATTTAAACATAGTGAGGCTATTTTCTTCAATTTTCCCAACGTTCAACTGGTCTTTTAAAGGTAGATATGTGAACATGTATGTGTGTATATATAAGAGTGCATATATATCTCTGTATATATTTATGTGTGTGTATTTACATTTATGTTTTCACTGATCGAGAAAGAGAGAGAGAAGGAAAACTACTTCTGGAGCCTGAACAGAAAACCTCATCTGAATTGGGAAAAATTTAAATCCTGTGGCTCAAACACCAAGCATCTGCTGCTTAGTGATAGCATTTCCAAACTGTAAGTTTAGCTGTTTAAAGAGTAAAATGAATCTTTTTAAAAGCACATGAAATGTTTTAAAGTTATGAAACACTATATGGTTATATATATATACAGTTATAATTATATAGTTATATATTTATATACATATAACATATAAAACATGTATACATACATATAATTTATATACATAATATATATAACTATATTTCTTATCACTTTGTTTCTTATATGTATGGCTATAATTGTATATAACTGTATATACTATACATATATACTATAGTACATAACGGTACTGTAACTATATATGTTCACATACCGTATAGCTTATAGTTATATACTATATATTCACTATATACTATATAACTATATATACATAACTGTATATATACAGTATACATATATACTATAGTACATAACGGTACTGTAACTATATATATTCACATACCGTATAGCTTATAGTTATATACTATATATTCACTATATACTATATAACTATATATACATAACTGTATATTATAGAATTATATACTATATAAAACTGTAACTATATATATTCACACACTATATAGTATAGAATTATATACTATATAAAACTATACTCATACTATATATTATAGAATTATATGCTATGTAAAACTATAACTATATATATTCGCATACCACATAGCATATGGTTATAGACTACATATAACTATAACTATGTATATTCACATACTATAAGTACAGAATTATACACACATATAACTATATATATTCAGACTATATAATATGGAATTATATACTATATATAACTATGACTATATATATTCACATACTATAAGTATAGAATTATATACCATATATAACTATATATTCAGGCACTATAAGTATAGAATTATATAGTATATAACTATATATATTCACATACTATATAATATAGAATAATATACAACATATAACTGTAACTATATATAGCATATATGTATACTATATATAACTATAACACAGACACACAAACATACAAAATGGCAAGAAAACAACATCTGTGGGTTCTAAGTGAAGTTTTCATGTATTATGCCAAGAGAAAACATATTCTGATTTCTCAGTGGAGGACAAAACGGCAGAAAGTAAGTGAGACAGTGAACTGCAGATCTGAATCAATACCTACTCTGAATCCCCAAATCCAGAAACATTTAGACTGCCTGCTCTGTGCAGACAGCATACGTCAGATCATTTATAACCTGAGACACCCACATCCAGGATAAAGTCAACCTCTCTCTTTAAAAACTGTGCCACAGTCAAAGCAGAGCATATACTTTATTTTACCAGCTAATTTTTAACCCTTCAGGCATGGATGAAAATGCTCTTTTATGGCAGTGGTCTGAGTCAGCCTATAAACCTCAGAATCCCTTAAACGTTCTTTGTCATCCTTCCAACTCAGCCCTCGGTTCCAAGTCAAAACTCCCCCTCGGGTCACCTCCTCTCAACTCCAAGGGGAGGACCCTCATTTCCAACCTTCCTTGAAACCACAAATCCCTTGAACCCTCTCCCTGGCCTGGTCCTGCACAGTTCAGGGCATATTAAATAATGCCTTCCCAGCTCTTGCCTTTACCAGCCCTTCTTCTCCATCCTCCATTTGTCCAAAATGGAGGGAACTTGAGGGACCCTTAATCCTTGTCCTATATCCTCACGCTGTCAGTGTTTCTATCTTTTCTTATAACATCTAGTTATCTACTCCTCAGCCCCTTCTCTCAGGGCCACCTGCTGAGACAAACACTCCAAATTCAGCAGATCCATCCCAACAGCAGCTGCCAAGCCCATCCTCACTCTGAACCGACCAGGACCGATAGAAAAGCCAATACACAGCATAATCACTCTTAGTTAACCAGATGAAAGTGTTCTCAATCTGCACACATTTCAGGAAGTTTGCTGTAACAGGGAAAATTTCAAAGGCCAACAGAAATCAATCTCTCTCCTTGGAGATCGTCACTAACACCCCAAGTTCACCACCGTCCTTAGCCTCGGGAAAGCAAGAAATTCATTCATCTGTTGTATTTTTAATGTCTTTACCTCTTGTCAATGTGCTGCTCTGTTTATAAGCTGCAAAATGTTTGGGATCAGATGTCTGCTTCTCAAATCTGCTACTTTTGGCAGGATTTTCAGTAATACCTAAGGGTACTGTTTTGGACAATTCCAGGAATTCTCCATGTAAGCTTACAAAGGGTCATTTTCTTAAAATGCTCTGGATTGTACTCTCTCATCTGGTACATTTTCACTAAGACAGACAGATTCGCCTCTCTCTGGGTTTAAAGCAGCCAGGAAACAAAAGTATGTTGTGTCTCTTCACTCTGAGACGCCTACTAAATCACCCTCTAGCATTCTCTATTTAGCAATGTATTGTGTTTACTGTCTGTCCACCAGATAGAAGGTGAGCTCCAAGAAGGGCAGGGATTTGTCTTTGCTCTCTGATGAATCCCAATGGCCTATAACAGTGCCTGGCACAAAGCATACGTTCAATTTACGTGTTGAATTTATTAAGTAATTAATCTCCTACTGTACATATTTATCCTAAATGCTTTATACTTGGCAGGTTGAAATGAGATGTACATTTTTAATGGAGAAACATCTTGTGGGCTTTGAGAAAAGAGGAAAAGGAGATCATGAACATTCCATCCTACACTAATGGTGTGAATAATTCCATGAGGGGCAAGCAACGTAACATTTCTTTGGGTTCCAAAATGAATCAAAGCTGACTCAGTGTCCCCAGAGAACAAACATTTTGAGAAATCCAAAAAAGTCACCTTCTTGGATTACCTCCCCTTCCATTCTTTTAACAAGAAATCTAGAGCTATGGTGTCCAGAGGGGAAAAAAAAAAAAGAATGCTAGTCTATTTTGGTCACTGACGCTCTTGACCTGTGGTACAAGAAATGGCACCACCATACTTCTCCTTCCAACCTCAGGCGCAGAGATCTTCACTGAAGCTCTCAAGACTAAAACATCTAGTGTCTGGTCTACATGGGCATCCACATGGCCACCTCCATGAGAAATCCTGTATCCACAAAGGTATTGCTTTTCAGTGAAATCAGAACCCTACTACTAACTGAAACTAACTGAAACCCCAACTCACTTCCCAGTGCTCAAGTATCCAGCCAATATCCCAGAATTCCTTCCATTTTCCCCTTGAGTCCTTTCCTTTCACATCACACAAATAAACAAAAAATTATTTGTATCTGTTTGGCCATAATAGTGTCTGATGGCTTGCGCTTATATATGGATAAACCCCAGGGCGTAGACATACAGAAATATCTGGGTTGTCTTTCCCTGGGAACAAATAAAAAATACAGGCGTTAGGATGGTCATAATGGTGACTGAGTGGGAGGAATTCAGCTAGCATTGGGTTCAGCAGACTGTGACATAAACCTCAAGATAACAATGGCCTTCAAAAGACTGATTTTTATTTTATCCCCCTTAAAGGAAATTCTGTGATAGCCCCCCGATCTGGTACAGAGGCTTCTATATGAACATTCCACCAGCTGTCTCAATGCCATCCCATGACCTAAGGCAACTGTTTGCACACTGACCATACAGAAGTAGGTAAAGGGGGTGTGCCACGTGTTGTTTTTTTTTTTTTTAATTTTTATTAGTTTTTGAGAGAGACAGATAGAGATAGGCAGAGAAGCATAGAGAGAGGGAGACACAGAATCCAAAGCAGGCTTCAGGCTACAGGCTCCGAGTTGTCAGCACAGAGCCCTACATGGGGCTTGAACTCACGAACTGTTAGATCACGACCTGAGCCGAAGTCGGCCATTTAACCGACTGAGCCACCCAGGCACCCTGCCACATGTCTTTTAAGATTCCCTCAGGTGGCCATAATCTGCCGTTACATCTCATTGGCCAGTACAGTCACACTGTCAGGCTACTCATGATGGAAGCTAGAAAATGTAGTCTTTATCTCACATGACTAGGTTGTATATTGAGGAAGGCAATTAACAGTGTATTATGTCACAGAGAGTGAACACTCATTCTACTCTTTCATGATGGGTTGGCAGAAGTGAAAAACAAAGCTCAGAGTTTTCTCAGTAGGTCCTCAAGCTGGGTAATTTAAATATTGAAATACTGTACAGTGAAATATTGAAAAGTTGAAATATTAATAAATAATTCTTTGACTTTGCCAACCTTCAGACCCACCTCGATGCTCAGTTGCCATCTGTCCCTCCCTTTGGATCAAGATTAGGAAAAGAGACAAAGTCATTTGTCAGCAGGATCTTCTTCTTGTAAGTTCTTTTGTCATCTGACTTGGTGTCCAACAGGTGAATAGATCTTCACAAGATATATAAAAATTCAAGAATGGGATATAAGACAAGCTAAACCTTAAGCCAATCCCGATCAATTCTATGCAGGGTGGGCATGAGGCACCAAAGTCACAGAGTATGTGACATTATCCTGCCTCCACCTCCACTCCCACCAAATTATAAGCATAAAGAACTTCCATTTTTTGTCACATATCCCCCAGAATCTTCAATACGGCCAACACTCAATGGATCTTTGCTGCACTGAGTTGAAAATGGATAATAATGTAAACATACACAAGAACTTACATGAAAAGAAGAAGATGAAGAGTTTAAAACACTTTTAAATCGATGGTAGGAGAGAAAAGAATACTACTGACATTTAAAGTCAGCACGCCCAGGTTCTACAACTGTCTTCATAGTTATTGCTTACTTGACCTGTTTCTCCCATGTGGACAATGCAGAACGTACCTTTGCCCCTGCACTCCTCCTCTGGGTTACAGTGTCAAATTAATATTTATTTCAAAATCCTGAACAAAATATTACTTGTATGTATTCTTCCTCCTACACCTACACAGCAAGTACACCAGAACAAGGACTCTTTGCAACTCAAGGGATAATGAAAAACAAAAGGTGGGGACGGAAGCGTGTACTGTGATGAAGAGCCTGACTCTAAGGCATTGGAGGACCTGCCAGTAAATCTCCCTGCAGCCATATAGACAACAGCCAGAGGCAGCAACCATGAATCACTCAGGTAAAGGCCTTCCATGGCAGCATCTAGGTAGGCTCCCTCTGCGTTGGCTCAGGGTCTCTGACCTGGTTGTTTTTCAGCAAGTGTCACGATCATAATAAAGACAATAGGCAGAGATGTTCTCAGACAGCCTTGGAAGGCCCGTGAGTCATCTGGACAAACACTCTGACTTGAAAGGATGTTCTACCCACTGTTTAAACAATGGCCACACACATCCTACTTGAATAATCTATCAAATATGTTTTTGGAATGTCAGAATGTGGTTGGAATTAAAATTAAAATCCTACCACCAAGCCAGGCAAAAAGCTAGCCGATACTCTATGAGAATATTAAACTGCAATGCTGAGCTTTGAGAATCTATAGCAGGGTTTCTTATCAAGTCAGGGGATCTAGGGAAGGCTCTTCAGAAGAAGGGGCATTTGGTCTCAATCTAAAGAATTAAAACTCTCAACTAAAGAGGGAGAGATTTCCAGACAGGCAAAACAGCATGTGCTAAGGCCCTGTGGTAGCAAATAAGAGAGCTTACTTAAGGAACTGGAAAAGGAGGGGGGGGGGGGGGAAGACAGTGTGAATGGACCAGGAAGAGCAAAGAGAAGAGAAGTGTAAGACAGGGTGGAGGAGTCAGAGTATCAGTAAGGGTCTTTAGTTGTGAGAGCCACTAGAGTGTACTCTGCCTCATGCATAAAAAAAAAAAAAAAAAAGAGGAAGACTGTTTGGAAAATAAACTAAAGAAATCACAAAGCTGAAGGATGTTCATAGGATTTGGTGCCACTCAGGTGACTGGTGATCTTATAAGCATAGTTTATAAGTGTAGATCACAGTGAAATGGATCGAAGGATAACCAGGAAGTAGGGTGAAGGAAGCAGTGAGCACAGGGTGTCTTTTGGGAATTTTGGTTGTAAATGGGGAGGTCACTGAGAGTGACTTGGTCCAGGATAGAGATGCAGAATCCAGGAGGCTTTTTTATTTTGTTTTGCTTTTAAGATGGAGGAGTCTGGGCATATTTCAGTGCTAATGAAAGAGAGAGGATGACTACACAAGAGAGAATGAGTCATGTTGAGCACAGGCTTTTGAGAAGCAAAAGACAGGGTAGCCTAAGTGGGAGAATTATCCTTACCAGGGTGGAGTGGCTCCACTAGCACATGCCAAGAAGAGAGGAAGGCCCCTTGCAGCGGTAGTGGAAAGATTCCGTTCCCAGCTGATGGCTTCCGTTTTGTCTCTGCAGTAGGTCATTTTCTGAGACAGGGGAAGGTAAGAGATGAATAAAGAGGATTAGGGAATTTGAAGAGTAGAGGGGGTTTTTAGAAAGTCATCGTAAGGACTGGGAGAATGAGGAGCAACACACACAGCAAAGATACCAGGCAGGGTGGAGCATCCACTGAGGGGCCAGTTTTAAATTCCCAACTATTGGATGTGATATTGTGTCCCGAGAAGGTCCTTTCGGTCAGAAGCCATCTCTGCATTCTGCGTAATCACATAGTGAGTGTTGGACAAATGTTCATGGTTTGTGTACTTTGTGACCTCAGTGCTAAGGACAGCTGTGCCTCCCTTAACTTACTACTTTGTGTCTTGGGATCGCAGTAGGTTCTGTAACATTTAAATCAATTGTTAGAAATGGGGACTAAGTTTGTAGCCCACCTACCGCAAGGTGCACATGTGCTTCAGCACCTGTGGCATATATTTGGGTAAGACATTACCCTGACTTCATCTTCTCAATTTATTCATGTTTTTCTCTTTTCCCCAACTTTCTCCTTTATGATCATATATTACCAGATAAGTAGGTTCTAGCCATCTTAAGTCCTTTTTGTGGAATGAAGATACAAATAATCAATAAGTCAATAATAGAACAAAAAGTGTCACATGGAAGTTAATTTAAAAATAGCACCTGGGTGGCTCAGTCGGTTAAGTATCCGACTTCAGCTCAGGTCATGATCTCCTGGTTCAAGGGTTCGAGTCCCACATCAGGCTCTGTACTGACAGCTCAGAGCCTGGAGCCTGCTTCAGATTCTGTGTCTCCCTCCCTCCCTGCCCCTCCCCTGCTCATGCTCTTTCTCCCTCTCTCACAAAAATAAACGTTAATAATTTTTTAACAAAAATAAAAATATAATGATCATCACAGATACAGATATAGAAATAAAAATGTAGAGACATAGATACAGCAATGTTTGCTGATGATTCCTATGGAAACAAGGAACGTAAAACCTAGTGGAGAGTCTACTGTGGGAGATAAAAAGTAAGAATCTAACCATTTTGTGGAAAAGAAAAACATAGTTACCTCTTAACTGATTTCAAGTGTTCTCTAAAACTAAAATATTTTTACTAATTTTCTTTAAGCTAACAGCAAGAAAAATTATCATTTACAATAAATGGTTTATTTGAAGTAGAAAGGATTTTCATTTCTTACGAATCGTTTATTGCTAATATTATAAAAGTTAAGGAAAATATTTAAAAGAGTAGTCTCAAAACAACTACTTTGGCTTTAAGAACACACTAATAATGGGGCGCCTGGGTGGCTCAGTCAGTTAAGCATCCGACTTCGGCTCAGGTCATGGTCTCGTGGTTTGTGAGCTCGAGTCCCACATTTGGCTCTGTGTTGACAGCTCAGAGCCTGGAGCCTGCTTCAGATTCTGTGTCTCCCTCTCTCTCTCTGCCCCACCCCCCCAGCACTATCTCTCTCTTTCTCTCTCTAAAAATAAACTGAAGAAAAAAAAAAAAAAAAGAACACACTAATAATGAGACAGAGCATGCCTTCCTTTGTAGTCAAAAGAAAGAACCACAGAACTAACATCCCAAGTTCATGTGAAGGAGAATCAGACTGCGTAGGAGCCTGGACGCTCTCAGAAGTATGCAGGCAGGGAAAGAAAACCCCCTTCCCTAACCCGTTTCACACTCTCACCACCCTTGACACTAAAAGACAAAGCCCAGTTAGGCCTTCTCTGCCTACAGCCCAGGTCTCTGTACGCTCAGCTGCTTTTCAGGAACCTCAAATCCACTTCCAGATACCAAAGTGTTCCCCTTAATGAAGCCCTTTCCAGTCCCTCAGGAATCATCCATTAGTCTTTGTTCCTTCTGGGCTTGCCACTAATTATAAGACAAACAACAAACAAAAACTGCCATCAGACATACTGAAGTCCTCTACTCCACAGTTCTGCTTCAATAATCAGTGACTTTTGCAAGTTCCTTAGACAGTCTGAGCCTCAG